AGACTTCGCAGCCGTGGAACTGTTGACATGTTGACGTTTAGTAGCGGCAGCTTCAATATTATCAGTAATGATTGGGGAGGGCATGGAGACTTCGCTTCATGGGGGGCTGTGGGGAACCCCTCTTGACCTGCAGGTTGAGGAGGAAGTGTCCGCGCTGTCTATTGTGATAATTTACAAACAGGAGCTGGAGGAGATCTACGCAGCGCTGTGTCAAGCGCATGGCGATCTGCCATATGATGTTCTGCTGGAGGGAGAGGAGACCTGCGATGGGTGGGAAGAGGAGCTTTATGAACAGATCTCTTTTCGACAGCGGGATGCGATTGACAGAGCGCGGGCGATTGCCATATTCTACGACTACATTGAGATGCTGCAGCAGGTCAAAGACATGTTTGCTGGCCTTCTAGCGAGAAGACACATGAGTGGCCCGCCGCATACCGAGACATGGACAGCATCGACAGCAGCAACACCATCGACAACATCATCAACAACATCAATTTCATCAACCACGGCAATAACAGCACTGTCATCGACCACAACCACATCAACAGTGGTTAATACGGTTATATTGCCAATTATGACATCTATGACGATAACATCACTATCTATAGCTGCGCCACCATCGAGTTGTGTTCAGCAATGGGAGCTGCTTGAGCAGGCTCATGATGCATGGGGGTTGGAAGAGGGGCCGCCCTCTTGCGTGGGACTCGCGGATCGGCTACGGTCGAATGCGCTGATGTGGCGCGGTTGCAAGGGCTTCGAGGAGGGGCGGGGTCCGTGCGGCGAGATCGACGAGCGATTTCACGATGTCGACGATGACGATACCGTGGACGGCCTTTGCGATTGTAGCTCCACTGATGACGATGCAGCTACGAAAGATGACGGTCTTGCCGACAAAAACAACAACAACAATCACATAGCATGCAATAACAAAACCTGCAGCAATAACAAACATGGCGATGGTATTCATTGGGAAGTAAATGTGATTCGCCTGTTTCTCTCCCCCCTCTTTTCTCTTCCTATCCCGTTTTCTCTCCTGCACGTCGTGGGGAACGATCGGGGTCAGGGGCGAGAGGGTTGGGTGATTGGGATGTGTGGTGAACAGGAAGAGGGCGCGGGGATGCGGGGGGAGGGATGGTGGCGGGAAGGGGTAGGATAGGCAGCATTTTAATTGCATCGATGCTCCCCGTCTAATGTGCACTCACGGACTGTGAGGATCGTGGGGGGAGGCTGTTGTAGGTAATCTGATATGACTTTGTTCCTTGATCTGAGTATCTGTTTTACTTTTGATGTGGTGAGAGATCTTGGCTTATCCACTGATTACAAGGATCGTGGGGGGATATGGTGATTCCGTAATAAACTACTTTTGCCACGTGGCGGCGCAGAAAGGTGCAGAAAGGCGCAGTACGGATAGGTATCAGGATTGCCTACGTGAAATTGTTGCGTTCTGCCATGTGGCGCACTGGTGCCTCCTTGTTTGAGTGGATTTGAGGATCTTAAAGCCTGGGGAGGGACACTGGGGCACATGATCTTCTAGTAGAATTTGTAATCTCCCACTTCGAATACCTCTCCCCGTTATGGCATTGCAAACAGTGAATAGCAGATGATAAGGGTTTCGGAGTGGGTATCTGATTTTCATAGAGATGAGCACTTAATCCCCTCAGCAGAGGGCAATCAATGCTGCTCATCAGGATATAGAGTGCCGCGTGTTGGTCCGGCTGATTGTGCATGGCCTTTTGTAGGATTGACACGTGGCGCGGTGACATGACTTCATAACTATTAAGGGACACTGGACCCGATTTCCAGCAGGTGCTGCTCCCCACCAATAGGTGGAGCCTCCCCGAGCATGCTGGTGGTGTTTGCTCCTATCAGCACCACTAGCATTTACATGGGTTGTTTTCGCCAAAAAAAAAAAGAAAAAAAGAAAAAAAGAAAAAAAAGAAGATATTTCCAGCCTTGTGGTTGAAGGGTCCCGCATGTGACCGACTGTGAAAACCCCTATGGTAGATCAGATGATAGTTTCCCCTTCCTCCTGGCGGGTGCTTTGCCCTTGGTGAACAAGGACACTGGTCTCGGGAGTGTCCCTACCCACGCAAGGGTGGGTATTGGTAGTCGGTGGCTACCGGGGACGAACGCGGAACTTCTTCTTGCGCTACCTGCTGGGGGTTCACAAGCGGGTACATCACAGGCGACAGCTCCGGTCATCCGGTCATCTTTCGATGTACTCGGCTTTGTCTTGAAATATCATTGGCCCGATTGGTCACGTTTCGGGAAAAAAAAAAAAACTCATAGCGCACCCCCTATCCCACTATCCTACCTCAGTGTGACCAGCACTCAGGACCATTACCCTACCAATGGGCAGGTAACTTGGACCGAACAGCAGTGATAGGCAACAGGGCTAATAGGTTGCCCAGCCCTGGTGGAAGCGGAATAGGACGAGCCTTGTCGAACGGGAACTTCGGACGCCAGGCCCAGACAATCTACTACGGGCCCCAAGAGACTCTGGGCCCTAGGTTTCAGACAGGGTAGCGCCCATTGAAGCAGTCTTACCGTCCTTCCCCTAGCTTACCCAAGGCCAGGCGGAACTCGGACTGGCCTGCGCGACTTATACCCCTACCCTTACTCCAGGGTCTAAGCCTTATATATAGTCACTAGACAGTTCTGATTTTTTTTTTTTTTTTTTTTTTTTTTTAATTAGAATATCAGTAGGAACTCGGGTTGTCCATACTTGTCCCTACTGCAGATACTAGACCCCACCAGTGACTAGACCCCCCCAGTCTGATAGTTGTGTAGTTCATAATCTATGGTGTATCCGAAGACTGTATGCTTTGTGTATCTGTGTATCAAGATGTGCAGACAGCACCATATGTGGAAATTTGTGTATGTAGCCCGTAGGCCATGTATAATTCACAAGCTGTGTATATATGCCCCAATGCTGTGTGTGCTCTGTGAATCAATGTATCAAGATGTATAGGCAGCATCATGTGTGTATATCGAAGAGAGAACGAGGTAAGCTGGACAAGGACCCCCCCAAGGTCCGAACCAAGCTCGAACCCGTGACCTTGTAACGTGTAATCTAATGACTCTACCATGTGAATGACTAGCGGAAATGGCACGAACGTGTGATATGCCAGACTGGGGAGATCAGCACCCCCAAGCAACCCATGTGAAACCCAGAACCAACATACAACACCATGAACAACCCTTGGGTGGTGCACAGGCAGTGTCTGTAATAGCTAACCTGCGTCATCCCAAGGGGTGTGTGTCCAGCCGTGCGTCATTCTAACGCCCCGCCGGTGTCCATGCGCACGGCTGCGGATTTGAACCCGCAACCTCATACCACAATGCGCATTTCCAACCGGTTCCCCTGTTCTCTTGTGCCAATTTCCAATGTTCTGAGAAGATACCCTGCTCAGCCAATCCCCTGACCAGGGTAATCAATGCTGTCAGGGGGGGGATTCCCAATTGTTCCAAAGGTGCCAAAAGTGCCGAAGGTTCCAATATGATGTAATTTTCATAAGGGACGCTTGGCCCGGTTCCCACCATGTGCTGGTCTCCACGAATAGAATAGATCGGAGCTTTTATTGAAAAAAAAAAAGGAAAAAAAAGAGAGAATACAGAGAGAACTGGCGTCCTGAGGAAGGACTGGAGACTCTGAGGCAGTGCCTCGTCCATGCTCCTAAGAAGCTCAGTTACCCCCCAAGTTCCCTGGGGCAGTCAATGCGGGCACTGCCAGCCATGTTTGCATCCTTGTTCAGTTTACGCATAGGCAACCAATTGGGACACTGGACCCATTTTCCAGCAGGTGCAGCTCCCCACCAATAAATTGGAGCACCCAGAGAAACTACTAGGGGAGGCTGCCTGTATCAGGGCCCCTAGTAACTCTTTTTTTTTTTTTTTTTTTTTTTTTTTAGGACAACCCGGGCTATGCTAGGGGTGCTGATATGAGCAGCCACCCCTACCACCCCCGGGAGGGCTCCATCTATTAGTGGGGGGCGGCACCTGCTGGAAACCGGTTCCAGCGTCCCATTTACAAGAGATGATTATGTCATGACAGAAAGAACAACGATGAGGATGAAGCCTGCCAGCATTGATTACCCTGTTCCTGAGGGGATTGACTGAGCAGGACTGATGTGCATGTATCTATTTCCTGTCCTAAGTTACTTATCCATGTCCAAGAGAAAGGAGACCTTTTGCATCTCTTCACCCAAGAAAAAACAGGCGCCGGATGTGCTGTGCAAAATTGATGCTGCCAGATATAATTTCTTCCGGACATGCTTAATTCTCCTATTTTGCAGGACCCACCCCAGGGGGCTCTGGGGAGGGGAACCTTATGAAAATCACCTAGAAGTTGCTTTAGAACAGGATTAGATAAGAATTAGAACGGCTTAACTGGAAGTAGGACAGAGTTAGAACAAACTTAAAACAGAATCAGGACAGGATTTCCATCATAGACAGGGCATGGGGCGGGAACGGGTCTGGAAAATCCGAAGGGGGGCGTAAGGGGAATGAGGGTTCTATGTTAGTCCACTCTCTGAAGACCAACCTATAGTCTCTCATGTGTTCTAAATCCCTTGTCCCGTCTTCTTTATCCCCACTCCATACCACTTTTGCCATCCATCCTTCCCTTTCTCCTCCCACCCAATCTGTGCAGAAAGCCTTAATTTGTCTCCTGACATCTCCAGTCTGTKTTAGTAGATCCAGCTGTGATTTTGCATCCTTCCACTTYTGTGAGATAAAAGTATGAATCTGTTGTTGAATCTGTTCTATTATCTCTGATCCCTCCACCCGTACTTTCTCCATAGTCAGTATACATCTTTGCCACCAGAGCGCCCAGATCACCGCTCTCCTGCCTAATCTATACATATTCTCTACAAATGTTGTGGCGGTCGCTGCTGGCGGCCAGTGGCCGGCTAATATAGCTTGCCCACAAACGACTGGCTGACAGACCGAACGAACCTCGAGCAAAGAGGGTTGCTCATCCCATGGTGTCAGCGCTGTCTAACCCTCTTCCCCCCCTACAAAAAATGTTTGGCCCATCTGTCATTTACTGTATCCTTTAACTGCCTCTTCGGTCTGAGCAATCTATAAGCTGACTTCACTGAGATCTGATAGAGACCGGTGTGACTAGAATGGCTGGTTCTAGCGGCCCCCGTGGCTCGCCCTTTGCGGATGCTGCCAGATCCATTCCGTCGGGTCCAAGGGCAGGTTTTTGATTGATTTCTCGGGTTGAAAGGCCACCTTTTGGCCCTTCTCCTCGATAACCCTTATCCTGTAGAGTGATGACATGTCTTTCCATACAAAGGGAGCTCTGCTTCCTTGGAGAGAACCAGTTTTTGTCATAGTATAGTCCTTAACCAGGGCTATTTGTGGTAATACTAAATGGATCAAGCCAAGGCTTTGCGAGGACCCCGTATTTGCCACCCAATCCCCCTCCTCCAATGTGGGTCCTCGTTTGAGGGTCCGATACCAATCAAGTGGGATAAGTTCAATTATATGTTCCAGTAGTTCTTCTATGTGATGGCAATACCTTAGGGGGCCTCGCAGTTGTTCCCCCGTTTTCCAATCCTTCTTATTTTCGTCCCACAAATCTCCTACTCTCTGTATCCCGTTTTTCACCCAACTCCTCCATGGTGAGGACGAACTTACCATCACATATCCCCTCGTATCGGTTACCCATCTGTTCCCAAATAGGGGTTGTCGGAAGATTTCTTCCCATCGGTCCGGGAGGGGCCTATCTGGAAGCGGGAACCTGCACCAGGTTTGTAGCAAGGATGGCCAGAAACTGTCCATCTTCTGCCTCCCTCTTTTCGCTTCTGCCCTGTCTTGTGGAAATTTGCGTGGGACTGTCCAGAACCGATCCTCCAACCATGTCAATGGGTGAATCGTATGGGGGGTAGCTGGGGCCAGACGGGCCAGATGTTCCAAAGCTAGAACACTCCATGGATTATGGGGGGAGAAAATCAGTTTCTTGATCCATTTTATACGCAGCGCATAAGCTTGTGTGTCGGGGTCAATCACTCCCAAGCCTCCGGTTGTTTTTGGTTGTATGATTGAGTCCCAGGCCACCCGACTTATGACATTGTTTAGTTCTTCATCCCCCCTCCATAGGAAGGCTGCTGCTTTTCTTTTTAAGCTTTTTAAGGCCTCTTTACTCAGTGACCACAATAAGGATTTATACCATAATGTCGCAAAGATCACATTATTGAGCACCAAAGCTCTTCCGAATAGGGAGGTGTGTTTGTTGTTCCACTTGTTGAGTTTGTGCTGGGCCGGGGTGCCGATCCATTCATCATTTATTGGGGGACGCCCTTCTGTAGTCATAGATACCCCCAAAATCCTGATCGGGGCTTCTGGTGGTTTCCAAGCTATGC